ATATGGAACAGAGACAAGAGCGCGCGTTTTCGGTGATTGAAACCGACAAAAGCCAATTATGGCACCATAGATTCGGACATTTGAACTACAGAGATTTAGCAAGCCTTAGCAACAAAGACATGGTGCGCGGTATGAAAGTGAATTTACCGAAAGACTTATCCTGCATTACGTGTGCAGAGTGTAAAATAAAGGTTTCGTCATTTAAAACGAATAGTGACATTTTTACAAAAGGTTGCTTAGAGCTTGTACATTCGGATATTTGCGGTCCGATGCGCGTCTCATCTCAGAGTGGTTCGAGGTACTTTATAACCTTCATAGACGATTTCTCGCGGTATATATGGATATATTTTTTGAAAAATAAATCGGAAGCGCTGAGCGTGTTTAAAGACTTTGTGCTACGTTCAGAAAATCAGACGGGTCTCAGAGTGAAAAACTTTCGCAGCGATAACGGGCGAGAACATTTGAGTAAAGACTTTCAACATTTTTTAAAGGTGAAAGGTATACATCACCAACTGACGGCCAGTTATACGCCACAGCAAAACGGAGTGTCGGAGCGCGCGAATCGAACATTGGTGGAGATGGCGAGATGTATGCTTGCCGAATCGAAACTACCTCAAAATCTGTGGACGGAGGCGGTTAATACCGCTACATATTTGCGAAATAGGTCCCCAACTAAGATGCTGCATTCTAAGACGCCTTATGAATGTTGGTTTAATAAAAAGCCAAACGTTTTCCATTTTAAAATTTTCGGATGTGATGCAGTGTGTTTGGACAAAAAGCCAGGCAAATCAAAATTCTTGCCAAAAGGTCTGCAGTGTACGTTTGTGGGGTATGCCGATAAAGCGAAGGCATACAGGTTGTATAACAAAGAGAATCGAAGCATCACAATTTCTCGTGATGTGATATTTTTTGAGAAATCGTTTTCAAACGCGGCTGAAGCGGTCGAAGAACTTGCGGTATTTGATATTTCGCCAGACTATCCGACGGAGAACAAGGAATCTGGTGATGAGTCAACAAACGTAGAAGCAGTTGTATCGTCTTCAAGTTCTGAAGCTGATGAAGAGATAGGCGAAGCTGGTGTTAAACGTAAACGGGGACGACCGAAGATGTTAAGAGAGGGTAAAGTCGGCAGACCACGAAAGATATTCGTGACAGAGCAGACACAAGAGGTCTTGAATCAAGTAACGGCTTGTGCGGCGGGCGATCCGGTAACTGTGGATGAGGCAATGGCAGACGGATGCTCTCATTTATGGAAAGATGCGATGCGAAAGGAATTTGAGTCCTTAGTCCGAAACAACACATGGGAATTAGTGGATAGACCAAACTCGAAGAATGTCATAGGCTGTAAGTGGGTTTTCAACACGAAAAGAGGAGCTGACGGTGCGGTCGAAAAGCACAAAGCGCGTTTGGTGGCACAAGGTTGTGGGCAAAAATACAACGTGGACTACAAAGATACGTATGCACCAGTGGCGCGGTACTCCACAATCAGGCTGATACTTGCGCTGGCAGCACAGTACAAATTACACGTTAATCACGTCGACATCGTAGCAGCATATCTTAACGGTGAGCTGAAAGAAGAGGTGTTCATGAGACAGCCGGAGATGTTCGTCGATAAGAAGCATCCAGACAAGGTGTGCAAGCTTAGAAAAGCCCTGTACGGGCTCAAACAAGCTGGCAGGGAATGGAACCGAAAAATTGACGATATTTTGCAAAAAATCGGTTTCAAAAGAAGTGGTACTGATGGCTGCGTATACTATCAAATGAAAGGCGATAAAATCGCTTTAATCGCTTTATACGTCGACGACATGTTGGTAGCCTGTTCTACCGAAGATGACTTGGAGCAAGTGGTTAAGCAGTTGAATCACTACGTTGAGACAGTAAACAGGGGTCCGATCCAGTACTTCTTGGGCATGCAAATTAACAGAGATTCTGCGTGCGGAAATGTTCAAGTACATCAATCTCGTTTTGAGGAAGACCTGTTAAGGGAATGGGGTATGCAAAGTTGTAAACCGTCGTCAACTCCATTACCTAGCGGAACAGTTTTGTCCAAATGTGACAATGCTAACTGTTCGGAAGTTATTGACATAAAGATGTATCAAAGCCTCATTGGCTCGTTGACTTACTTAGCCATGATATCCAGACCAGATATAGCGTATACAGTCTCGAAGCTATCGCAATTCAATTCGCATCCGCATCATGAACACTTTGTGGCAGCAAAACATGTGTTACGTTATTTAAATAACGCAAAGGAAGGTACTTTGTCCTATGTTTATAACAATGACGTTTTAGTTTGTTACACAGATGCAGATTGGGGATCCGACTCCACGGATCGAAAGTCATACAGCGGGTATGTGGTTTTCTTTGCTGGGAGTCCAATTGCGTGGGAGTCGAAGAAGCAGAGTGTGGTCTCGTTGAGCTCTATGGAAGCCGAGTACATAGGCATGTGTCAAGGATCCAAAGAACTCGCTTTTCTGAGAAGTCTCTTACACGAATTGGGTTTCACCAAATATACTCAGTCTCCAACAACATTTTACTCTGACAATCAGGCAGCGCAGTTTGCGGTGAGAAATCATACAGTCCATAAGAGAAGCAAACATATGGACATTAAGTACCACTATGTGAGAGAAAAGTACAACAACAACGAGATAGATATGCAGTATATTCCCACTGCGAAAAATGTCGCTGATATATTGACTAAATCTCTCGCAAAAGAGAAACACAGAAATTTTTGCAATGTATTAAATTTGAAATTTTCATGAAATGTAATCTTTAACAATGTAATATTATTAAGATTTGGTTTGAGCCGGAGTATGGTTGTTATACATCACCCTGTATTGTAACGGGCAAACCAAATTCTCTTATCCTACTTTACTTATGTATCATTCCAATTGAATTCTTTTGCTCACTCGAATAAAGTGCATTATATCGAACGGTCGTGTTATTCATTTAACTGCGCTAACAAAAGCAAAACGTTGAAAATTATTGAAATCGGACTAAAATTACGGCCGCTTTTCATATATCGGTAAATTTCAGAAATGCCTGAAACTGCGATATTTCGAAATTTAAGGACGCTAATTTACTCAAAATTGATACACCCCGGCTTACCATCTAGCGGTAGGTTTCGGAAAGGTGAAAAAACATATATTTAATACTTGCGCCGGGTATTTAATGTTCGGCTCCGCCCGAACTAAGACTTTTTTACTTGTTTTAAATGAAATTAATTGCTGCTGTATGTACATATGTAGGCATATACTAAATGTGAGCAAACCACATTTTGCTTGCATAGTCTTCTGTTCTCTTTTCAATGCAGGTTGAATTATTTTAGTATCTATTGCAAAATTTTATACAGACAAGACTAAAAAGTAGAAAAAAAAAACTTTTTAAGTTACAACGGATGCTTTCCATTTCCAGACAACCGGTCAGGTACGAGCATGATTTTTAATTTCGACCAAACTCAACTACAGCGATTATAAAAAGCGGGCAAATGTGATTTTGTATTTCGAAACTGTATGGTGGAAAGTGTGTTCCAATATCTATTTGATACACAAAAAATGATCACGGCTGTACTTTTTGCTGATATATTACATACATATGTTCCATTTAGTTAAACAATATAAGAATATTGTAGTATGTACCACAAAAACGTATATTTTCTATAAAATATCCTAACTCAGAAAAAAAAAATCTTCGCTATTAGAGATTTAGGTTGATTGTAGTTCAAAGTGTCTCTTTTCCGGTAAAAAAAAAATTGAGAGAAAAAAAAATACACTTTTTGAGAAATTAAGTTTAAACAAAATTTGCACTTTTTGTTTATTGTTAAATAAAAAAATTTAAATAACGATAATCAATAATTATATCATTCTGTCTTGAGGTGACAAGAATTACTGACATTTGAGTAAAAACATTGTTGGAATCTATTAAATTTTGACAAAGTTATGGGCATTTTAAAAAAAAACATTCTCACTGTCAATTCGAATAGTCGATTTTTGCCTGAAAAACAAATTCGCGTTTAATTCGGCAGAAAAATTTTTCCGAGGCAAAAAAAAAATACGTGCATCGGCGTAGCCAGAATGAAATTTAGGGGGGGGGGGGAGGGGCTCGACCCTATTAAGCTGGCATTTCAGGGCACTATTTTATATATATACAAGGAAAATTTGAAAGTTAGGGGGGGGTCTCGAGCACCCCCCTGCCCCTACCTGGCTACGCCCATGAATACGTGTCTCATTATTTGGACCAACAAACAATGTATTTGAGTTTGGTCGAAATTAAAAATCATGCTCGTACCTGACCGGTTGTCTGGAAATGGAAAGCATCAACGCTTTTATAAATGGACTTAAAAGTAGAAAATAATATTTCAAAGTCCCACAGAATTTGTTTTGATAACTTTTGATTTTGAAATTTTAACAATTAATGACATTGAAAATGAAAAGCGTGGGGCGCATGTAATACACTTGAATTGATATGAAAAGTAACATATGTATGTATTTGGGAATATGAATAACGACCGCTTAAAATCGATCTCAAATTTGTACTTTCGCTGTAGAATTGTATGTAATTTGACTATTGTCAATGAAATCGAATGCTTTGTACTGCATGCGCTACACGTTCTTCGTTTTCAATGTCATTAATTGTTTCTAATGACTTTTGCTAAAATTTCAAGATCAAAAGTTACCAAAACAAATTCTGTGGGACTGAGAAATATTACTTTCTACTTTTAGTCCATTTATAAAAGCCTTGAATATTAAGAAGTTTTTATTTTATTTTATTTATTTAAATATTAGTTATTCTCCATTTGAGGTACATAAATTATTTTTAGTCTCTTCAATAACACAAATGCCTTCCCGTAGAGACAAACTTTTGGTTTTAAATTTTTGTATCCAAGCAAAAATGCAAATGAAGTTACGAATTAATAAAAACCAAAACTGTTTTTATGTTATTATTTGTATATTTTAAGTCCTGTTAACTAAACCCCTAATATGTGCTATCACTTTCCATTCTAGCTCCGACTCCGCCCCCAGTTCAATTTCATGTCAAGTGGACGCAGTTGTGCCTGTGAGCAGTTATAACCAAACACCCACCTGGACCACCACACCTATTGCGACAGCTAAAATAACTTCGCCTGCCAGCAAGCGAAAGGCAAACGTTGGCGCCAACAGTAGCGCTTATTATGGCAACGATGGCATCAGCACTTCGGTATTCTGTAGTGGCGGTAGTGTAGAAAATGATCTATTCGATAGCAATTACCCAGATCTGTTAGATATTCCTAACTTCAAGAACCATGTGCACTACTCTGTACCTCCAGGTGCGGGGAGTTCGTCAAATAGAGCCATTTGCACATTGCCTCGGAAACTTAAAACCAGCGGTAAATACTTTAAAAGCTCCTCGGATAGTCAATCCCTGTTGCTGGCGGAAAATTCCAGCAAATATGGTAGCAGCACATTGGGAGATGACAGTTTCCTAAACGAGCTAACTTTGGGCAGAAGATTCTCAGCTGAGTCTACTTATTCGAATTACGTGGGCACATCTACATATACCAGTCGGCAGCGATCGAACAGTTTCCTTAATTTGATGCAAAGCACTAATAAAGGATGCTCGGCGTTGACCGTTGGTGCGATTAGCGGGACATCAATAGTGCATAGCGGCGTTCGGCGCAATCCCAGTTTGCCTTCATCGCCGATACACAACGCGCATCAACATCAGCGTTCATTCAGCTCAGCAGCTATGCCATTGCTGGATTTCTCCTCGTTTACCTCGTGCACAGGTGTCTCTACAATGCCAGCCGCGGGCGCAACACATACCTCAACAGTTACAGCCTATGACTACCATGCCACGCAACTGGAACGTTTCCTTGAGGAGTACCGCAATTTACAGGATCAGTTGTGTAAAATGAAGGAGACCTGTGAGGCGATACATAAGAAAGATGCGCCAATGCGCATTTCTGTCGGTCATTCGGCAAAGCTGGCCGATCCTGTGATGTTCAATGCGGCACTTGCGGCAAACAATCTACCTAACACGGACCCAAAAGCAACGACGTTGAAGAGTAAAGCGCTGCTGCCGGGACAACCACCAGATCCACCACCTTACTGGCTGCACCGAAATGCAATGCTGAAACGACTGAATGAGTCGGAATCGGAAATATTAAAAAACTAATGAAGGAAGCAGCCGGGTTGGTGAGAGGAGAAGCTGGAGGATAGATGTTCAATCACGAAAATAAAAGTTATAATTCCATGTTTTTTGGTATGCATGTTACGAAAATGATGTCAGTGTTGCCGTAAAGTTGTGCCGTAAAAAAATATTAAAAAACAAGTAAGGAAGTCTTATTTAAGTTGAAGGCGAACTTAATATAGCAGACGCACGAACTAAGTAGTGCTTTTTACCTTTCCGTAAACTACTTTCCATGTTAAACAGGTGTTTCTTCAAGATTGCAAAGATTTTCGATAAGATGCTCACTTAGATTTAATAAAATATTTGAAAAAAGTTTGGAACAAACGATAAAGGGATTACCGAGATGCACTTGTGTACAAGGGCGTACCCAGAATGGGGCGGGAATGGGGGTAGGGGAAGCTACAAAGCGAAGTAAACATTTTCAAAAACCAATAAATAAAAAATACAAAATTGTATACGTAAGATACTGACAAACAAGACTTCAAAAATAAAGGAAAGAGAAGTGCAGTGTCCATGATATTTTTATATTTTTCTTTAAAATATACTAGTCCGGTCAAATTAGACCAAAAATAGGAGTGAAGTTACAAAAACTCCCACCCAGCTGAAAATTGGTAGAATTGTTCAAAACACTATCATAAATGAAATCAAGAAAGTCCTCATCGATCCGATACCTGGAAAAAAAGTTACTCGGGGTCGAAGGTCACAAAAACGGGTTTTTCGCGATTTTCAGCAAAACGGTAAGTTTATCATAAAATTTGTAACCTCGAATGTCTAAATTGACCGGACTATACGTTGCTAACTTTTTATATTTAAAACTATTAAAAACATCACGCGATTGTGTATTCTAAATTTTCTCAATATATATATATCGCGCGAATATTACTTTCAGTTGAAATTATATAATAAATATATATTAAGTGGAAGGCACTTTTATGCTCTTTTGAATAAACATATTTTAACATATAGTTAATAACGTATTATTAAAGAAAAATATAAACAAATAAAATTTAAAACTAACTTTTGAATATACCACGTTTCTATATATGGACTAAATAGTCTAAGATCCGACAAGGGCACCCATCTGTTTAATGGATGAAATCTACTTTGTATGAAATTTAACGTGTAAAGAAATATTTCGCGAGTGGGTTGGCTGAAAAAATCCTGGCCAGGATATATTTAATTAAATATTAAAAAATTATGGTTATATTTTCAATTTTGTACTCATTTGTATAATGAACAAATTATATACCAACCGAAAGTATTAAGCCTATGGAATTTAAAAAGGTTGGGTTGTCTATTTTTTCCTGGCCTACCTATCGGGTTGGCAGGTAGGAGTAGGTAAGTAATACTAGTAATTTTCACTCATCTGTTTAACACATTCTATTGGCTTTATGGTTTCGATTGGTATAACTGTAATTTGTCCATTAAACAAATGAATGTAACTTTTAAAAATAAAATTAATTTTTGAATATTTAATTAAAAATATCCTGGCCAAGATTATTTAGCCAACCCACTCGCGAAATATTTCCTAACACGTTAAATTTCATACAAAGTAGATTTCCTCCATTAAACAGATGGGTGAAGGTCGTGCCATTGTCGGATCTCCTACTAAAAGTAGAAAATAATATTTCGCAGTCCCATAGAATTTGATTTTAAAATTTTAGCAAGAGTCATAAACAAGTTATGAGAATGGAAATTAAAAATGCGGGGCCATGTCATAGACTTGCATTTATATGAGAAGTAATATATAGTATGCATGTGTGTGGGTATGTGGATATTGATCGCTTAAAACAGATTTTAAATTTGTACTTTCGCTGTAGAAATTTTAGGTCTATGCTATGAAGTTTGACTATTGAATGAAAGACTTATTGTCAATTTAATGTAATATAATTGTATTGTATGCGCTTCATGTTTTTAATTTTCAATATCATATATTGTTTTTAATGACTTTTGTTAAAATTTTAAAATCAAAAGATAACAAGTTTGCTGGGATATGTACATATATAAATATGAGCAGCAATTAATTTCAGATAAAAAATTGACTCGTCTTGCAGTTCTGCTGCAACTTAGTGTATATTTTTAGGCGCAGTAATAATAATTTGGATATTAGCTACTTCCGGCGACTAGTTCTAGACCAGTTGATAAATATTCGAAGTTCCCGTTGGTCAGCATATTGAAAATATTTTGAAGGTGGTTAAGAACGACCGCAGGAATGCAGGAGTTAATTAAGAAATCTCGTAATATTACAGCCCATCTAGGAGCAGAAATTTCTCTACCACGTTTGGCAGGCAAAAAAAAAAAAAAAACAGAAGTAACCCCCATCGACGATGGCGACGATCTATAATAATACCGTATCTGGATTCACTAGTGGCCTCTTTACAACTACACTTTTCCAATAAAAAATACTCCAGCTCCAGCTGTGAAGAGGTACAAAAGAACGTGAAACATTTTGAACAAATCTATGATATTGATGTTGAAGCTGTAGAGCTATTTAAAGAAGGAGATTTCTACCAGCGACAAATAAGTGTATTTCCATTCTGAGAGCTTTTCCATGCACAATCGCGACTGTAAATAGATGGAACTGGACTGGAAATAATCGAAAACTTTTCCGAAAATCCGTTTGTTACTACCGTAAAAATGATTTAATATTAAATAGAAATTTTTTAAGAAACAAGTATGTTTACTAAGGACTTAAGGCAATAAACTTTTATGGAAGCCTCACGTTGAACAAAAGTTACACCACCTACAGGAAGACGGTGGACTTGCATATATATGATAAGACTCATAATATGCTATGCAGCTGTAGTGTGGTGAATCAATAGAGCGGAATCCGCGAATCCGCTTGCCAAACTTCAAAGGAAAAACGCAGTGTGCTGCACTAAAGCTTTCCCTACAACACCTGGGGCTGCTCCAGATACACCGCTTAACTTAACGCCACTTACCATTTTTATCTTGTAGGCTTAAAAGAAATGAGTGGCCTTATGATACAGTATGAAGGAATGTCTTTTCAGTGCAAAAAAGGTTGCTCTGGACTAATCAATTTTGAGAGCCCAAATATGAACCGATTTCAAGTTTCTTTTTTCTAAATAAATGATAACTAAATTTCACGAGAGAAATTCAGTTTACCCTATTTTTCAATACTTCAAAATTTTTCCACGAGTTTGGCGTTGATATTATATATCTCTGTACTAAGTTGCAGCACTCTACGATGAATACTTAAAGAGATATGTTGTGTGAAAACTTCAATTTGTTTGGAAGGTGGCATCCCTTTATATATCGAAATTATTTTTCTTTTATTATCATCCTTGGAGGGTCTAGAGTCGATGCCCAAAATATTGGTACAGCTTTTCTCGAGTTTTCCAACAGAGAACAACGGCTTTCAAAATACAATTTTTTAATTAAATTTTTTTAATTAAATGTATCCTATAGAAAAATATTTATGAATATTTTTTTAAATAATTACAGGCATTTGAAATTAATTTCAAGTATTTTCCAAAAAAAAATTTATTCTTATTCTTATTTTTTAACATAAATAAACAAAAAACTAGAGCTTTTGTAAAAAATCGCCACCGATAGATCGACGCGAAATTGTATTATCTTTTATTTAGAAAAAAGAAACTTGAAATCGGTTCATATTTGGGCTCTCAAAATAGATTTGTTCACATCAAGCTTTTTTGCCCCACTGTGCACCACCGATGCCTTTGCTGAAGAAATATTAAAATGTGTATTATTACTTCTGTATTGATTGTTCGCAGTTTTCTTATTTTTGTAAATAACCGTTATGGGCGTGGTTATTTTTCTATTTCAAAAATGTTTAACCATTTTCTATGTTGGAAAACCTAACAAACTGTACAAAGTGTGGTATTAATTGGTAAAGCGGTTACAGAGATGAGCAAAGTGCCGTTGCAAAGAAAGTAGGCGTGGTCATTGTCTGATTTTCCCATTTTCAATATCATCCATCCCTAGCTAAAGAGAAATACGCGCACAAGGTTTCGTTGAGATACAATTAAATTTTTACTCGAGTTACCGTGTGCACAGGTGGACGGACAGGCAGACAAAGCTTGATCGATTTTTCTTTTAATTCCGAGCATTTTTAAATATATATATTAGGGACCTTTTTTTTGCGACTATTGTTTTTTTTCACTCCTACGTCGAAATTTTGTGGAAAACACATAAAAAATCCTTGAAAATTTTAACCTTTAATACTAACAATAAGTACTCGCCCAAGGCGTGCAAAGATTTCCATTATAAAATACACGTAAACATTGAGTTTGTTTCTTCAAAAGTCTACGGATCAGAGGAATTTTATGGTATAATCTTGGTCAATGGCGGGTTTTCTTCAAAATTTAATGCTGTACAAAAGCGCTTATTGCGGTGTAATCCTAACTCCCACCAGCGAGGTAGTACGGGTCACTAAACCCATTTTTTTTTATGAAATTCTCGTTTTTTTTGCCCCTATCTCGAAAATAACTAGAGCTATAGAAAAAATATCAATGACAAACTTGTAGGACAATGAATTTCCTACAAAAAACTTCTACAACACCAAATCGCTAATATCCACATTTCTTGAGATATTAGACTTTGAATTTGATCAACAATGTCTAAAATTTAGCTCAATAGTCCATGAAAATTCTACACTACCTCAACTTCAAAGCCCAATATATTGAGAAATATCGATGTTAGCGATTTGGTGTCTGAAACGAATTTATAATTTATATATGTACTACCTCGCTGGTGGGAATTAGGATTACACCGCAATGAACGCTTTTCCAGAGCATTCAACTCTGAAGAAAACCCATCAGTGACCAATATTATACCATAAAATGCCTCTGATCAGTAGAGTTTTGAAGAAAAAAACTCAAAGTTTACGTGTATTTTATATGGGAAATCTTTGCACGCCTTGGGCGAGTACTTAATGTTAATTCAAATTAATGTTGTTCAAATTTTCAGGGAGTTTTTTATGTATTTTCCACAAAATTTCGAGGTAGGAGTAAAAAAAAACAATAGTCACAAAAAAAAGCACCCTAATATATATATAATTCCTTTAGACAGTTACAAACACCTGTTATGCGAACAAAGTTACTATGTGCAATTTTGTGCACAACTGCGCTCGGGTATAAGTAATTGTTTACTTCGCGAATTAATTGTAATCCCTCATCCGATTTGTTCAAAAGTTTGTGTAGCGGTTTCCGGGGCTGCTGATTCAAATTC